TGTTCACTGTCCAAAAAACCTCTTTCTTAAAAAAAAAAAAAAAAAAAAAGAAGAAGAGTCGTGCGCAGAACATGGCCAGCGCTCGGCCAGGACGCCTCTGCGTTTCCTTCTCAACAACTTCTTTCTATGAGAGACAGACAGAAAAGCACTCAACAGGGTCTCACGCCAAGACTTTGCCCCTCACCAAGGTCATGGGTATGCACACTCCATGTCCAGGTGCCGAGAGGGAGACAGGGGAAGTGGTGTCCAAGTCGTCCTTGTAGGAACGAAGAGTTAGGCGGGAACGATGCCCCTCCAGGTGAGCCCTGGGTACTGGGTGGAGCCAGGCAGGTGGAGGCTGCTCGGCTCAGGCACCAGGGCTCCCTCTCTGACCGGGCAGCTGTCTCTGCTGTCCCCACTCCACCTCCACATCAGCATGCCGGGCAGCTTCCCAGGGAGTGCCCCCACAATCCCCTGCTTGTCTCAGGAGGGCGCTGCCATCCGAGTCTCGGAGCCCCTGAGGTCACACGAGGGCCTGGGCAAAGCAGGGCTCTGGGGCTGCCTATTGCTGGCCTGGGTGCCCCCTCACCTTTGCCCTGTCCTTCCCAACAGGCCGAGCTCGGCAAGCCCCGGGAGAGAAGCTGCAGCTTGCCTGGTGTCAACTTCAATTACGGACTCTACACCCGGGGGCTGGACGGAGGGGTCCCCGAAGGTAAGTGGGGTGCTTTGGAGCATGAGGGGCTGAGGGGCAGGTGGAGGCTCAGCCCTCTCCACAGAGCTCTGCCCTAGGCTGGGTGCCCAAGGAAGAGCCAGCTGGCCTGTTCCACAGCATGACTCCCTGAGGCCCTGAGTCTGGGCAGTCGAGCAGCCCCGGGGCTTGGAGAGTTCAAGCAGGGCCCAGGTGGAACCTCCAGTGCCCAACACTGCCTGTGCTCTGCACGGTCTGAGCTGCCAGCACATTCGGGCTCAGAACAGGAGAAAGTCGGGAACCAGCAGTTAGCATAATGGCTATGTCGCTGGACTCCCACGTAGTCGACTGCAGTTCGCATCCCGGACCTGGTGGCTTTAAACTCACACCGGGCGCGTGTGTGTGCGTGCCCAAGATCCCGAGAGGAGAATGGAGGAGAAGGGATTGCGGCATCACCATCCCCTCT